TCCTTAGTGCAGGATCAAGATTGATTCTTTTAGTTCTTGGTGTTCTTGCAAGTAGTTATTATGATTTGTCCTGCATATTCTCTGACATTGCTCAGTGGCTATATGTTTTCAGGTATTGAGGGAGCTGAAACCGTATGTTGTGCTCGCTGAGAAGCTTGGGAGGCTGGCTGTTCAATTGGTAACCGGTGGGAGCGGTGTGAATGCTGTGAAGGTGACTTATGCTTCTTCAAGAGCTCCTGATGATCTCGACACTAGGCTTCTCCGTGCCATGGTCATAAAGGGACTCATTGAACCCATTTCCAGCGTATTCATAAACCTGGTTAACTCTGATTACGTTGCTAAACAGCGCGGAGTCAAAATCTCAGAAGAACGTATGGTTCTTGACGGCTCACCCGAGAATCCAATCGAGTACATAACTGTTCGGATTGCAAACGTAGAATCAAGATTCGCCAGCGCGTTATCTGAGTCCGGGGAGATCAAAGTAGAAGGCAGAGTGAAACAAGGGGTTCCAAGTCTAACCAAAGTCGGGTTATTTGGAGTGGATGTGAGTTTAGAAGGGAGTGTGATTCTTTGTAGGCAAGTTGATCAGCCTGGGATGATCGGTAGAGTCGGTAGCATCTTAGGAGATGAAAACATTAACGTAAGCTTCATGAGCGTTGGTCGAATTGCTCCAGGGAAGCAAGCGGTGATGGCGATTGGAGTAGACGAACAACCAAGCAAAGAAACTTTGAAAAAAATCGGAGACATTTCTGCCATTGAAGAGTTTGTTTTCCTCAAACTATAGTCTTATACTTTCCATAGATGCACATAAAACCCCTAAATGGATATACTCTTATTGGATGATGATTCATTCTGTACTAATGATACAATCGAGAGTGTATATGTAACAAATTACAGTTGATTTTTTCCAAAGCGGCATGTCGACGAAGTGATGTGTTATTATTGCAGCCAGCCAGAGAATTTCAATTTGTTATGTTTTTCATAGGGAAGAAACACAGAGATTGATGCAGCTTACGAGCCAGTGAGAAATGGGATCTGAGCCACCGTTGTTGGAATCGAAAAATGAAGATTATAAATCGCCAGATAAGCCGCGATACCAGCAGCATAACCAGCAAAAGCAAAACCACTAACCTGCATGGAGCAAACACAAAGTTTTGCTCAGAGCTTCAAGAGTATTGAACTTCAGTCTAGTTAATGCTATGTTGTTTAGTTGAGCCTTAAACAAGGCAGAAGAATGTATCTTACCTTTCGGAAGTACCAAAAGAAATCGACTTTCTCCATCCCCATGAAGGCTACACCAGCAGCAGAACCGATGACAAGCATCGAACCACCAGTCCCGGCGCAGAATGCAATGAGCTGCCAAAATTCAGAATCTTGAGGGAACGATGTGAGATCATACATCCCCATAGTCGCCGCAACCAATGGAACATTGTCTATGATTGCTGACACAACACCGATAGCACTTGCGATTAGCTCAACATTGGGTATATTAGCATCAAGGTAGTTTGCAATCTCTCGAAGGATCCCAGCTGCCTCAAGGCTGAAAAAGAGAAAGAACATCACAAAAGATTTTGAATTCATGAGAGTAATGAAACATCAGAGCTTTCGAGACAATCAGTTGATTTAATACCTGCTAACGGATAAAAGAATTCCCAGGAAAAACAGAGCACCTTGTGTGTCGATTCGTGATAAGGCCTGAGGTACTTTGAGCTTCTGTCTTTCTGATTCACCGTAATGAATGGCATCTGTCAAGATCCAGAGAACTCCAAGACCCAATAAGATACCCATGTAAGGAGGCAATCCAGTTAGAGCCTTGAAGACTGGAACAAAAATCAATGCTCCAAGGCCAACTCCAAAGACTAGTTTCCCTCTTGGAGCCATCTTTTCAGTAGCCAATACATCTGCAGAATCCTGTCCCTTGCCATTTACCTCACTGAGTAGAAAAAGAAACATACATCAATCAGCCTCTGCAGTGCAAACATTTTACGAGACACTGAAGCAAACATAATTTCCCTATCCGTTTGAGAGTGCAAACAGAATTTATAACCTGGTCAAGGACATGAGGGCTAGTGGAACAGCAAGAGAAATGGCCGAAGGTATAAAAAGGTCCTGAAAGGAAAGCAAGTAAACTGTAAACCTCCATCAGGAATATCATGACCAAGTAGACGGATACTTTAATCACTTGTGTCTATACAGTTCAAACTTCCAGAAAGTATATCGGAGTAACCAATACCAGCTGTTGTACCATGATTACAATTAGAGGCTCCCCCAAAGGAATTAAGACATAAAGTAACTTCAGAACCACTGGGGCTTTTGATAACTTTTGCTTTCGTACTCTTTCCGGAACAATACAGAGAGCTCCTAGGTGTAAGTTGTAACCTCTAGCCACTAGCAGAATCAAGCTCTTAATTCAACAAACCTGCCTAAACTCATGAACTAGGCATACAGTTCATAATTCAGGGATGTAAGCTTGTAACCTAGACTATCCAGTCCTAGTTCTAAACATTCGTTGTTCGTTAATAAACTGTAAGCCTGTAACCTCGACTAATGAAACCAATTGCGCTCAAGAAAGAAAGGAATTCTGATAACATTATGTGATATTCTCAGAAGAGAAGGAGGACCTGCATAGTCGGCAAGGTGGATATCTGACCATGAATCCATAGCATAGTTGTAGTAACATCACCAATTGGAGTCCATGCTCCTCCTGCATTTGCTGCTATTACCACCACAGCTCCTAGAAGTCTGCCATTGGTTATTGAGCGTGCAAACAAACATTAATGTGATAATACTGAAACACAAAACAGAGTATTACAGTAACCAATACGCTTCCTTCAGAATCTTAAGGTCTATATCTACAGAGCTAATATGTTTCTCATAGTGAACAACTTAACCAAGAAACTAACTAATAGGAGCATAAAGAAAAAAGTTTCCATACTTTCGGTATTCTGATTGAGGAACCAGTTTCCTCAGTAAAGAAACCATGACAATGGTGGAGGTCAGATTGTCTAGAATCGAACTGAGGAAAAAGGTCACAAAGCCAACCTGCGACAGCCGATACCATAAGTCAACAAGAGAAATAAAGGATATTCATGTCCTTGAAGAAGAAGAGCGAATAACTTTCAAGCTATAGATAACCCCATACCACCCATAAAAGTGTCTTTGGCTTTCGAGTGGTGATATTGTCTGTAACAAGCTTAAACCCTTGGTGAGCGTCAACAATCTCCACAATGGTCATCGCGCCGAGCAAGAAGAATACTATTTCACTAACTTCCGCTGATGCATGTTGAAGCTCCGCAACAGCTATTTCAGTTGATGGAGCCTGTACAAGGAATATAATTAAGATATACAACAAATAATCAACGTTAATCATAAAATTAAAGGATTAGATAAACAAATTTGCATGTAGATTCTTACCCCTATGCTCCTTACAACCCACAAACTCACAGCCATCAGCAATCCTATACCACTTTTGTTAAAAGCTAAAGACTCTTCAAAGATGATTCCGGCGTATCCTATTCCAAACAACAATGCCATAGCAACATCCTGTATCATGACACTGTCCAGAGATAAGCATTTTGAGTTTGAAACTAAAAGAACATAAAGAAGGAAAAACCGCTGCAAGAACCTGATTAGCAGCGACCCAGGAATGATTAATGGCAGCTGTTCCTGTAAGAGCTGCTGCAAAAATAGCGATAGCTTTGACAATATCTGTCTTTGGCTGATAATTCGCTTCAAAGTAACTCGAACTAGGTTCATCAACAGAACAAATAGGGTCACATGATCCTGAAGAGTCCATCATATCCTGTGGATCATCATAATTCAAAATTCCATTTGAAAATGCAATCACCAACACACAAAATAAAGACATAAAATGCAATTTCACTCAAATCCGACTAGTAGGGCTAAAATTGTATCACAAAAGAGGAAATGGGTACTTTGCAAAATTGGATTTTGAAGAAGAAGCCATTGAGAAAACGCAAACCTCGAGCTGTGACTCATCGATTGGTTCTTCGAG